ATTCTGCTAAGTCTACTCAGCTTCTGTTTTATAAGATAAAAACTTTAAGCCTAAAACTAGCTTCACCTAGGCTGGGAGGAAGGGAGGGAGGGAATGAAGTTAAGTGTCCCCTCATAATTTTGTCCGGACTAAAGGAGGTGCCGGATAATCGGTGGTGTACCTGTACTTGTTCTGCTTCAGCTTTCCTCTTTTTAGATGTACTCATTATCATTTACATTTTATGGATTAGGGCAACATCACACAAGTACAAATTCTGACAGACCACAGTAATGTCCTCTTGAGTGAGAAACAGAGAGAAGACTGAGGCTCTAGTGTTAGTGCTGGACACTCGATCAGTGGAGACTTTATTGAGGTGTGGGTGTGGCTGTCCCTGTCATAAGTCGAGAGTGAGTTTTACAGGCAAGGTTTTACTGACCTCTCTTTGCCTAATCCTAATCCCTTTGGATAACCATACTTTGGGGTATTCCCAAGGTCAGGTCAACAAGTGATAAACTAGTCTTGCTGTGATGGGTGGCCAACTCCCACATAATAATGATCATTTCTTAGATTTTAAAATTATTTTTTTCCTTATTGCTAATGCAATGGCAAACCATGGAAATAATTTGGTGGGCCACATTTGGCCCACTGGCTATGTCTTGCCCACCCATGGATCTAAAACACCTAATCCATCTGCATATCTGAATTACCCCATGAATCATGTTATGCCTGTAGGCCTGCTAGCCCTCTGAGGACATAGGCTATGCATACTGGACTGGTATATGTCTCATCACAACTTGTCATACACCCATGCCTAAGGGCATAGCATGATCTCTATTCACTTGTTTTGAATAAGGGTTATGAAAGGGACGTGAGGAGTATGTAAATTACAGTATTCCCTCTAAAGCTTGCGTCCCTCGGAAACTCACGGATTGCCATGGAAAATAAATAAAATAAATCTGAGGCTGTGTTCCAGGGATCAAGAGGTGTCAACACTACAGGACAGTACAGAGCACCATATTTCCCAGGTCATAAGATGCACCCTATAATTAGCAAGGTGTATTTTGGAAAATTAAATTTTGCAGATTTAATAGCCTACTGTACTGGCAAAGCCAAGTCATTGGCTATATGCTATCATGTTTCTTACTACCACAGCCCACGATCACTTTATGGACCTATTATGAAACATTTGTTGGCATTAATAAAATTTACCTAATTTAATACAAAAGGATATAATTATACGTACAGTGAGTTCTGCTATAATGCGTGTTTTGACAACGCGAATTGGCTCTAACGAGATTTATGAATAGAGGAACGATATTTGTATAACGCGAACGCTTGTTTGCTGTAACGCGATTTTTGCTTACTATTTCTCCAACTTTGTGGTATTAACTGTGAATATGGTAAAGAAGAATATCTCCAAGAAGCATTCTGGTGATCGCATTCCCGGTGATGATCGTAAAAGAAAGGCTATAACACTTGAAGAGAAGCTCGATGTTATCAACCTCAAAATCACCCTTCTCCCCCATCAAGTTATATTAAATAATAATAATAATAATAATAATAATTAATATTTCTTCACGGTAAAGTGTTTCACAGGAGAACCCCCAAAAACCTTTGGTAAAAATATTAATTAATTATTCCCCACTGATTGTGTCATAAAATGTGCTATCAGGATCAAGCCCCTATTTTTATATTGTCTATTTCTCAGGATGATGTGACATGGAGTACAATAGAAGCTTTTTTTTGGACTTGGACTATTGGGAGATTAATATTTTATTTTTTTCCTTTTCCTGTCAATGTTAGGTCATAGGGAAACTCCAGACATTTTATGGAATTACAGTGTTGATAGATCTGTTTTGGAGAAAGAAAAAATTACTGTACAGTATTACCCCGCCTAACGCGGTTTAACTTCACGCGTTTTATCATATACGCGGTGCCTCGCCAGAGCTGAACTTTCACTTAACACGGATTTTTTCCACATATACGCGGTGAGTGTCCGGCTCGAGATGCTATTTTTAGATTTGCCCCACCTGCCACCCTGCCTGACTGCCTGTTTTAGCTCATAAAATTCATACAAATTACCCGGCCAGAATATAATTTACATTGCTGGAATTCTTATAATTTGGTGATCATTTTGAATATAAACATCATATATTTTGCATTAGACATACAAATTTTAGATAAAAATTTTTCTCAGGTAACTATGTTATCTTTTGTGCAAAATATATGACATTTATATTCAAAATATTCCTGGTCTTACAAGGAATCCAGCAATGTCAATTATATTATCCTAACTTTAGTTTGAGGTATTATTTATTAAAATTTAGTGGTTATCCCACACATCTCCTTGGGACGGTTGGTGGGGGGTGGGGGGGAGGGAGGGACCGACCGACCATCTGTTACCCCGTGAAGAATTATTTTTTTTTTTTATTAACTGAAGATATTTGTTTTAGCTCATAAAATTCATACAAATTACCCGGTCTGAATATAATTTACATTGCTGGAATTCTTATAATTTGATGATCATTTTGAATATAAACATCATATTTTTGCATTAGACATACAAATTTTAGATAAAAAATTTTCTCAAATTAACTATGTTATCTTTTGTGCAAAATATATGACATTTATATTCAAAATATTCCTGGTCTTACAAGGAATCCAGCAATGTCAATTATATTATCCTAACTTTAATCTGAGGTATTATTTAATACTAAATGTTAAAAACCCTGGAAGGGAGGATTGGTGGGGGGTGGGGGGGAGGGTTGGGACTGACCGCGCGGTTGGAAGAGGGGGGAGGCAAGGTGGGGTACTTTGTTTGACAGATAATGTCGTGAAGATTATTTTTTTGTTTATTAACTGAAGATATTTGTTTTAGCTCATAAAATTCATACAAATTACCCGGTCAGAATATAATTTACATTGCTGGAATTCTTATAATTTGGTGATCATTTTGAATATAAACATCATATATTTTGCATTAAACATACAAATTTTAGATAAAAATTTTTCTCTAGGTAACTATGTTATCTTTTGTGCAAAATATATGACATTTATATTCAAAATATTCCTGGTCTTACAAGGAATCCAGCAATGTCAATTGTATTATCCTAAATTTAGTTTGAGGTATTATTTATTAAAATTTAGTGGTTTTCCCCCAAAAATTTCTCTGAGAGGGAAGAGCCGGCAGTGTAGTGTGAGAGGGGGAGGGAGTTGAGTCCATTATTTGAATGGACATTAACTTGGCGACTGTATTTCTCTATTTCTCTTAAGTATTAATTGTGTGCATGTACCATCATAAAATTAAGATGTTATTTTTACTACAACATAGGTATGTGCCTTCAAAAAGTGGAGTTTGGGGGTCGGGCCGGTTTCTATTGGAATTAATCCCATATGTTCTGTTGTTCACTTAACGCGGATTTCACTTAACGCGGGACCCTCTGGGTTCAATTGACCGCGTTAAGTGGGGTACAACTGTAATTTCTTTTCCTGCTTGAACATTGGTCAAATCCTTATCTTCTTGTTTTGTCTCAGAAAGTGGGTAAGAAAAAAATGCTCTTTCTTCATTCTGTTTTTTATAATGTTCAAGTTTGTGTTTTACTGGGCTACTTCATTTTCCTTAGTCTTTTATTAAGTTTAAATTATTTTGAGGTTTGGTGATTGTTTTTCTCTTTGCCTTTCTTTGTGGATTCTTCCCATTCTTACTAGCCTGAACAGTAGTACTGAGCCTAATTAATTGGGGGCAGTTTCACCCAAATTGTCTTGATTAAGACTATGTGGTCTGATATGGTAAGTGGCTATAATAATTATCAATAGCATCTGACTGGGGGTTCCAGGATAACATTGTGAGACTTTATATAAGGGAAAGGAAAGTTAGATTGTGTGTAGTACATTTCTGGCATATATGGATGTCATATGAAAATAATGGGCCAACTGTCCTTTGGAACATATCTCTGTAGCATCTCTTCCATCTTGTCTATCTGGTTTGGGCTGACTAGAAGCCTTCTGACAAAATGATAAGCTTAAAACAGAGGATTGATTCTGAATTCCTATTCTTTGCAAGCCTGTGGCTGGCTGGCTCAAATACCCCTCTTCACTAAGGATTTTGTTGCTTGGTTACTTGGAATTCAAAGTACAGCATGCCCTGACAATTTGCGAACCTCGATTATTCGCACATGACACCCTGGATGTACCCAAGAATGTCTAAGGGTAGTTTTAAAGCTGCTGGCATTTTTGCGGCCAGGACAGGGAGCCATTCTTTCTAGAGACAGTAATTTCTTTTACCTGTATTGTGTATGTGTGTGTGTGTGTGTGTATAGAAACACACACACAAAACACCTACAAATAAATAATAATGGGAAAATCCTCTCACAAATATTCAGAAACTAGACAACAAAAGGTATTAAAAATGTGATTGTTTACCCTCAAGTCAACTCCGTGCTTTGTTATAACATTAATAACAAAATACATACATACAATATAGGTAAGAGAAATAATTGTCTTAAGGGCAAACGCATAAAGGGAATATACATTTCTTTGCACACAAGTAAGGCCCCCCCCCCCACCCCCACCCCCATCATCAAATGTTATTTGTAGATTTGGTTATTCACATCCATTTTGCGAACCTAACCTCCGTGAATCTTAAGGGCATGCTTTAGTAGAATGGCTTATAACAAAGAAACTCTGGTACATTGCTTTGGCATAAAATGAGCAGATTGGGCAGAAATGCCATATAAGATACCTCCTGTTGCCAGAGGACAGATGTTGTACCTGATATCTCCCTATTTTGGGGACAAAGAGTGGGATGAAGTCGAAGGGTGATTGGTTTACCCAAATGAGATAATAGATCAACTATGACTGACACACTGTAATTGGGGGTTATCAGATGCTTCTTGGCTGTGGAATTTGACATTATGAGGGATATCAGCATTATTCCTCCATTTTTTTTAGTAATTCTAGCTATCACTGACTTTTTTTAATACCCTATATAACTTCTTGCAAAATACCAACATAGTCTACAAAATTTTTATGAAACGGATGTTTGCAGATAGCAGCTTATGGGCTGGAAGGAAGAAGTACAGTATTGCCACATCTACTACGAACCCCAAACTCTGCACAGTTTGATATGGTTCTAGATCATTTGGTACTGAACCTCAACACTACTGATGATGAGTAAGTGTAATCCTTGATTGCCTTGCAATCAATGTTCTTTGTATAACACTCCATAGATGTTTGAAACCTAATTTTCAGCTTGGCATCAGCAAAAGGACTCATGTATTTACCTACCAAGTCTTCAGGTTGCAACCCTGGCAAACCCTTGGCAGTGATAGCTGGCACTAATTAGACAATAAATACAACTCTCCCATCTCATTCCTAGCTTTCAGAGAAGAGACTGAGAGCAAGTACCTATTTACAGAGTACCTCTCAAAATACACTTCACAAACAAAAGACACGAATCAATTGAACATGTGATGTCGAACGTGAACTGTAAACATTGCATAACCCCGCGCCACGCTTAAAACGTTGAGGATGGAATCGCGCTATAGCCAACATTCGTATGCAAAAGTTCATGTCTTACAAACAGCGTTCCCCTATTCATCAATCGCGTTGCAGCCAATTCGCGTTGACAAGACACGCGTTGTAGTAGAAATGACTGTAACTGGTATGAGTGCTGTGATGTCATTCAAGACGGTGGCCAGCATTCAGCTTGCTGGATCTCGCAAAATTCACGATATTTTACGCCAAATATAAGACTTGGTTGCATTAGGTAGTGCTTGTTAAATTAAAAAACGCAAAATGAAATCGCGCGAATTATGAGATCTTACTGTATATGAAAAAGGAATACAAATATAATTAAAAATTTGCTTGGAGAACCATACAGCCCTTGGGGGAGGGGTAAGCCAGGTCTTGGGGGGGGGGGACAAGCCAGAGTCTAGGGGGAGCAAGCCAGGTCTGAGGGGTGGTGTCCCCCCCCCAACGGGCAGGACCTTCCACACTTTCCATGGGTCGCAAGTGTTATGCCATTATGATATTGCGCGAGTTTTTGCACATCACTTTTTCATAACACTGACAATACAAGAGAAGCATTCGGGTAGTGGCCATCGTAATGCTGATCCTTAGCCATCACTTAGTGATAAATAGTGTTAATTTTTTTACATCTTAAAACTGATCAAGCACATATTCATTATATAATGGTCATTGCTTGTACAATATTGGGCACTTTATTCAATCAGACAATACAGTACACCTGACCTTCGCTTTATGCTATGGTTGCGTTCTGTGACAACACAGCATAATGGGAATTTGCAAATAGTGAATACTTAATCTTATGGGGAAAATTAGGATATGTTCCACAACTACTACCATAAAAGTCAACAGTAATGCTATAAAAGTTGTGAAAAATCATTACAATAATTTAATTTGGGTTAGAAATAAAGATACAGTAATATAATATAAAACTATAAACTAAGACATGAAGAGCATGGGTGTTTGTGCAGAAAGTGAAGTGTGAGGAGTAGCTGACTCACTACTCCTGCCGCATCCCGTGATATTACATGCAGCACACACACGCACACACACATTGCCACATTTCACAACCATTTCTGGAGCATTAATGCGATAAAAGTTGTAGCAAAATCATTAAAATGCTCTAACGTGGCTTCGAATTAAATATACACTGTATAATGTAATATAGTATACAGTCAACCCTTGCTTTACGCGGTCCCACATTCCACGTTTACGCGGTACCCTGCCGGAACCCGCGGTGCTTGTACCCCTTTACGGTGAGAGCGGCTGGCGAGCCGCGCCATTTTTGGATCCAAACCTCCCGCCATCTCTCCCGCCCTCTCCCGCCATCCGCCATGTTGTGTAAGCGGCGCGAGCATGGTGCGCACAAGGTTGCCCAGTCATCAAAACATTATCGAGTTCTTCACCCGCCACCCACCACAGCCGGCCCAAGTCAGTGATAGTGATAATTATAGTGAGGATATGGACTTATATGGACTTTGAGGGGTTTGACAAAGAGGCCCTGCAAGCCTCTGTGGTGGATAGTGATACAATTGATACAAGTGATACAGGTGAGGGCCAATAATCTGCCCTCTGCCTCGGAACCAACCGCCCATCCCCGTGTGCCCAGCCATCTTTTCTACTTTTGTAAGTGTTAAAAAACCTAATATTATTGATATATTCTTAATTATCTTTTCTACTTTTGTAAGTGTTAAAAAATCTAATATTATTGATGTGTGTGCATACCATCATAAAGTTAAGATAATATATTTACTACAACATAGTTGTGTGTCGTCAAAAAGTGGAGTTTGGGGGTCGGCCCGGTCTCTATTTCAATTAATCCCATATGTTATGTTGTTCACTCTACGCGTTTCTCACTTTCCGCGGTACCCTGTGGGTTGAATTAACCGCGTAAAGTGAGGGTTGACTGTAGTAATATAATACTGTATACAGGAAAGCCTCCGATAACGACGGTTCTACTAACGACGATTAATATTTAAGACCCTGGTTAATTAAGGATCCAATTCAATTTACACCACTATTTTCTTCGTATTTATGATGAAAATAGAATAAAAAATAAAATAAAATTATATTTTCATATAAATAACAATTAAATCCCGATATGTAGTGTATTATACAAATAAAAAAGAAACACGCCTTGCACACGGAGTCTGCCGGGCTTGTGAGTGGTGACGCCAGCATCACTAGTATAAACAGTCGCAGCAGCTGGCGGGCCTTTTGTTTTCACGCATCTAAACAGGAAAAGGAGAAAAACTTTCTCATGTTTCTTACAGCCTTTTTGCATCCCTATTCAACATGAGCAAGAGAGCAAGTGATTGTAGTGCTGGTTCAAAAGCTAAAAGAAAGTGTATAAGCGAAGCCGAGAAACTAGATGTGTTAAAACGATATGAAAAAGGTGAGAGGATACTGTACTAGGTATATGGAGCAAGCAACGAACATATTTTCTGAAGTGGATCCATGAACAGAACGAAGCATTAAAATTAACAGGGATGTGAAAAATGCATATGACCTCTACATAAAGATGTATAATGAGAAAAGAAAGCAGCTGTGAAAGGTTCTTTTGGCAGGTTTATTACTTGAAGTCCTAAACCACCAACTTCAGCTACACCATCAAATTCAGCATCATAAGCAGCTTCATCAACAACTTCAGCTACACCATCAAATTCAGCATCACAAGCAGCTTCATCAACAACTTCAGGTTCAGTAACAGCTATGACATCTTTATGGAAAACTACAGCTTCAGCCAGAGTTAAACCTGATGACTTCGTCATCTGAGTAAAAACTCTGTCCTTATGTTTTTTCTTTGCCATTAGTGGTTAGCTATTTATATTGTTTCATTTATTAACATTAATTAAACATAAATTTTTTAACATTAATTTTACTAGCTACAACCAGGGTCTTATTTTCTTCAGTTTCTTCTGTAGAATCATTGTCACAGGTGTAAACACTAACGAAAACAATGGCGTCCCATCTCTTCTTGTGTGACCATATTATTATTGATTTATATTGTATAAGGTGCATTCTTAGATATTATTTGAAGAACATAGTTTGCATTTAACATAATTTTATTGTTTGGGGGGAAAAGAGAGTAAAAAGCCACACAAAAGATATGAAAAGGTCTTACTTGGGAACACATCTCATTATTATTGCTTTATTTTAATAGTAATTAATGATTCACTATAGGTTGATTCACCTTACACTGCAAGATTGGAGGACACATTACCGTCGTTATTCGAGGCTATACTGTAATATAATATAATAGCCGGTATAATATAATATAATATAATATGATACCTATACAGTCAACCCTCGCTTTACGCGGTCCCACATTCCGCGTTTCCACGTTTACGCGGTACCCTGCCGAAACCGGAATGCTCACATTCCGCGGTGCGTGTACCCCTTTATGCGGAGAGCGGCTGGCGAGCCGCGCCATTTTTGGATCCAAAACTCCCGCCATCCGCCATGTTGTGTAAGCGGCGCGAGCAGGGTGCGCACAAGGTCGCCCAGTCATCAAAACATTACCGAGTTCTTCACCCTCCACCCACCACAGCCAGCCCAAGTCAGTGATAGTGATAATTATAGTGAGGATATGGACTTATATGGACTTTGAGGGGTTTGACAAAGAGGCCCTGCAAGCCTCTGTGGTGGATAGTGATACAATTGATACAAGTGATACAGGTGAGGGCCAATAATTAATCTGCCCTCTGCCTCAGAACCAACCCCCCATCCCCGTGTGCCCAGCCATCTTTTCTACTAATGTAAGTGTTAAAAAACCTAATATTATTGATATTTCTCTTAATTATTAATTGTGTGTGCATACCATCATAAAATTAAGAAGTTATTTTTACTACAACGTAGGTATTGTGTCTGAAAAAGTGGAGTTTGGGGGTCGGCCCGGTCTCTATTTCAATTAATTTCATATGTTATGTTGTTCACGTTACGCGTTTCTCGCTTTCCGCGGTACCCTGTGGGTTGAATTAACCGCGTAAAGTGAGGGTTGACTGTACAATATAATATTATATGATACAATATAATATAATATAATATAATATAATACAATATAATATAAAACTAGTGCACCATATCTTCTGCAGAAATCATAATAGGGATTCTTTTCCTCATAAAATAAATTATGGGTAGAATTAGGGTCGCTGCATAAACGCAAATTCGCATACTACAGTGAACCCTCCCTTTACGCGGTCAATTGAACCCGCGTAAAGCGAGAAACGCGTAAAGAGAACAACATAACATATGGGATTAATTGAAATAGAGACCGGGCCAACCCCCAAACTCCACTTTTTCCGACACAATACCTACGTTGTAGTAAAAATAACTTCTTAATTTTATGATGGTATGCACACACAATTAATATTTAAGAGAAATATCAATAATATTAGGATTTTTAACACTTACATTAGTAGAAAAGATGGCTGGGCACACGGGGATGGGGGGTTGGTTCCGAGGCAGAGGGCAGATTATTGGCCCTCACCTGTATCACTTGTATCAATTGTATCACTATCCACCACAGAGGCTTGCAGGGCCTCTTTGTCAAACCCCTCAAAGTCCATATAAGTCCATATCCTCACTATCATTATCACTATCACTGACTTGGGCCGGCTGTGGTGGGTGGTGGGTGAAGTACTCTGTAATGTTTTGATGACTGGGCGACCTTGTATGCACCCTACCCGCGCCGCTCTCCGCGTAAAAGAGTACGTGCACCGCGTAAAGTGAGCATTCCGTGTTCGGCAGGGTACCGCGTAAACGTGGAAACGCGTAAAGTGAAACTGCGTAAAGCGGGGTTATACTCTATAGTGAATGCACATAAATCGAGGATCCAATGTACGTAATTGTTTATGAAGTCTCAACATCTCATGACTCATGAGAAGCTGCTGGGACATAAACAAACCCATTTTACTTGCTTTTAGGGAATTCTCTAAAGTCTGAATGTAATTATTATTTAAATTATGTAAAGATTTAAATTTTGTTATTTTGTTATTTAACCCCTAGGGCTTAGGCTTTAGCTCACGTCACATGATGTGTGCTTACAGGGCTTCAGTTTATGTCATTTGAACTTTTTTAATTTCATGGTGGATCTGGCTAGATTATGTTGCCAAGTAAGCATTTATCTTTCTCTCACTCACACATGCAAGCCTCCTAGTCTCTTAGTAGCTTCTCAACTTTTGTGATGTAGGGATCTCGCTATTTGGCTTCACGTGCTTCACCACATGTGCAAGTGTAGTAGGTGGACTCGTGTGCATCAGCAGATTGTGATAAATTACTGGAGGCAGTAATGATAATTTTAAGTAGTGTCAATATTAATAACAATAAAACAAGTGTCCTGTACCTCATGCTGCTTGGACTTACGACCGTCAGGACTTACGACCGCCGAAGTTGTGACCTTTTTTTTTTTTCATTTTTTTTTTTTTTTGCAAATGACACGCATTTTCTATACCGAAACGTTTCCAGTTAATGTAGTCTCCATGTATAATTAGAAAATTATGGGGGCCCCATGTGCATTCAGCTTAATACATTAAAGGTAAGTGCTCAGTCACACTGTATCCATTCCTCATTATTTATTACTTTCACTGTACTGTATCCATTCCTCATTATTTATTAATTTTACTGTACTGTATTTCATTGTAAATTTTTTATTTAAAAAAAATTTGAATTTTTTTTTTTTTTATCTATGTCGGACTTACGACCATTCGGACTTACGACCTGGATTTGGGTCCCTAACCCCGCCGTAAGTCGGGGTCTAGCTGTATTACCAACCTCATCCTATTGTGTCATACGTACACACTCCACTTCACGTGCATTCTCAACTCTTCCTAGCCCCTGTGATGCCAACCTATGATACTGTATTGATGTTGCCAAATGGTTGGCCTAAGGTAAAAAAAGATAGAAGAACCAGGGAAGGTAATTACAATTTACCCAAAGAATAAAATGTCTGGCTTTCTGAGATCTGATTTTGAGGGTTTGTACCTTTGCACTGTATACAGCACTGGTGCTTGAGTTCCTGGAGTACCAAAAGATATATAAATCTTTTGAGATTACACTAAGACCCCCCTAATTTGGAAATCCCCATTAATCGGACTAGTGTCTGTGGGTGTGCCATCACTCAGAGTCAAAATTGGTGGTAACCCCCAAGCAGCCACCTTGCATCCTTGATTCCGACAGTGATTAAACCAAGAAATAAATGCTAGTTTTAAGTGTAACTGTGCAGAGAAATAAAAGTAAAACTAAACAGCATAAGTGTGTAAGTGAAACCACAGTAAAGTAGGTTTAAGCAGCCCCCATTTGTCTTCCAACAAAAGATTCATCTGCTACAATAATCTCAAAAATCATCTGCTACAATGTTAATACACTATAAATAAATACATATCGTTGACTTTAATTTTGTTTTTGGATGTGATTTTTCAGCAAAGTGGTGATCGAAATTACTGAGGGGGGTTCCACATATGTCGGACTAGTTTGAGCCCCATATAGTCCCACTTAGGGTGGTTTTACTGTATCTACTTTCTCAAAGCCTCTTTGTCCCAAGTATTTTGGAATCCTGATACTCAATAGTAGTACAATTTACAGAGTAATGAGTTGTGATGAAATACAGAATAACCTGTAGAAAAATATAACTGAAATGATACAAGATGATAGGTGGTTGGGGGAGTGTGAATGGCAAAAGTACTGTGTTGAATATTATAGTTGTCATTGATAACATTTTCTTTTTTATGATATAATTTTGTCATTTATACAGTTTTATATTAATTTATATTTTTCATTTAATCCTTTTAATTTTCTTGTATCTAGAATACTAATGGAAGTAAAGGAAACAACAGACATCAGTGGCTTTAAGAAAGCTCGTTGGGCGATGGACCTCATTATCTTTTCATCTGAGCCGTTGAACGAAGAAGAAAAGGGTATTGAATTCTCCACAGAAAAGTCTCTGGATGATGAAAACACACCTGGAGTTTTTCATGTAAGAATATTCTCAAATTCATATCTTCTCCCTTATCAGGTTATGCTATGTACACCACATACATAGGTGGAAGTGAAGGAATGTAATTAGAAAAATAAATTAAAATTTTTTGTCTACAAACTCCAGAGGTACTGCAGGGTATATTGCAAGATAATGATGATGAAGTTTGCCACATGTTACAACCTTGTCAGTGAATGTAGAAGGTATTGTTTCATGTGTATCTTTGACCCAGCTTATTCTTATTTCTAGAGTTTCTCCAGACATCACTGCCAGTTGTGTCACCTTTTACAATGACAATGAGAGTGAATCCCTTTCTGATGGTCCTAGGGACAATGTGTTTACAGCACACTGTAAACTAAAATGTTTGATGATCAAGAATATTGAGTAGCTGGCACTTCACTTAACTGCCTTTACTTTCCCCAATAGTAAAGCTAGATACTCACTCACAACTGAGTGAACTGGGAGCACATTGGGAGTAACCCGGGAACCCTTAGGACAGAAGGTGAACATTGTATGCACTTTACCGCCACAACCTGAGTCTTTTCGTGTGAAACTTTGGGAATAAAAAAATCAATTACCCAGAATCAATTACCCAGCTGTATCAGAAAATCAGTTCTTTTGAATAAAAAGATGAAAAAAATAAAATGGATCATACAGACAGCATATGAAACATCGTTTTGAATGCCCTACCACCTGCACTCTTGATGAAAATGTTTGTTGGTGGGGTTCATATATGACAGTGCTTGCTCTGTTATGACATAGACTTGTACTGTATAAAGCAAAATTGTCTAGCAAATGCCCAGGTTCAATACATACACAGAACTGAAGCTATGTTTAGAACACAGCACTGAACTTTTTCCCTTTAAATTTTTATGGTGTACAGTGGTCTCTCGGTTAACGAACGGTTCAATTAACGAAATTTCGGTTAACAAATTACCTCCCTTAAGGATCTTCAATAATACCTTGCTATTCGTAACCCCGCTTATCTGCAATTGATATTTTAACACCCCTATTCTATATTTATGCCCCTATTTGCAAATTAAAAATTATGATACCCTACAGTAATATTTAAAACTGGGTGGGCCATCCACAGCTTTCATATTCCGAAGTAAGGCCAGTTTCACACCTACTGGGCGAACCTTCGAGTTGTGTTGTCATTTTGCAACTCGTAATTTCGAGTAGATTTATGTAATTTTATTCAATTTCTTTTACACTGTTACATGTACACAATTGTTCATACAGAATGTGCAAAAAAAATGAAAAATTATGAGGTCAAAAACATAATGTAAGTATAGACAGATACTCGTATGTCCACAGTAGTTAATGTGCATTCTTGGGAGGGGAAGGAGGGAGCTGGAGGGGAGTGGTAGGTTTGGGTGGTGTGTGATAAATAATAATAATTAACAGTTTATTGAAAAGGATTAGCAGCCAGAAGGCTGAAAATATATAGTTGACAGAAGTGGCTTATTACATTGACATGTCACACAGAGATACACATACACTTTAATTGCCGTGAAGTGATTAGGTTGGAATAATAGCCCGATGACGTGGACACAATGATTTATTAGTCAAAACCTGTTGAACATAACACCACAGTTACACATAGAAGACTGATCATATCACAAAGTTACATTGATTATGTGATTACATTACCAATCCATACTCATAACACAACTACTGGTATATCGGCATCCAGGACTATGTTACTAGATATCTTTACCTGTACATTTTGTCACTCCAGGTAAATTTATCTCTTTTTTTTTTACATACATGTCACAGGCGTTAGAATCTTCCAGCATCCATAGCTGGTCGTTGGGTTTGGTGTCCTTTCACTTGTCAATGTTGGTACTCCCAAAGTGCTTTCCACATACATGAACTGTTGACATTGATACTCCCTAGGTACTAAGATATTTTGCTACACACACACACACACACACACACATACATACATACATACACACACATACATACAAGCTGGAGCTCACACGCAAACTTTCGTGTGTGTTCTGTTCAATGCCCAACTGCCCTGCCACTGCCCAGCGGACCCGAGACAAAGACGCCTTTGATTATGCCCATAAGTTCCATGGTAATGATAGCATAGTGCCCACGTGGCCCAGCTCTGCCTAGTCGCCACCTAGGGGGGTGACAACACACTTAGCAAATTTGTTTCTTATAATTTCAATTATTTATAATGAAACAAACCCCATAATAAGCTGATCATACGAAAACATCTTGAATAATGACTAAATAAAAAATCTTGTGATTGTGGCAATGGTCAATTCTACCCTCCCCATCTCCAGCAAATTTATAGATCAAGTGTCCTCTCATATTAGCTTCCTTTAGGTCTATATCCAGGGCTGGATTAACCATTAAGCAAAATAAGCACGTGCTTAGGGCACCAAAAGAAGGGGGCACCACGGGTTTTTCTTTTGAAGGTATTATGCCTTGTAGTGACCAGATCATATTTGCGATAAAACCTAATAGGCTAGTGTAAAACCGCCGTATAAAATTGGTGAAAAATATTTATCCCATTTTGTTCGTTAACTATGTTTTGCAAGGGTTTTAAACCAAGAAAACTGTGCTCTTTTTTTTTTTTTTTTTAAGGACACGTTGCCCAATGGAAAACAGCTTTATTTTATACACGTTCAAGAACGTTCCTGAACGTCTGAAATTGTCTAAGTTCGTTCCCTCGCTTCTCAGCCCTCACTCAGGCTCTTGCAGTATCAACGAAATGTGTCTATTTTAACGTGTGGTATGAGGTGGATTGTGTGAAGTAACAAGTAAGTTTCTGAATTTCTCATTAATTAAATTACTTTATATTTACAAAATAAAGAGGTAGATATTTTAACTATATAAATATATTGTGTTACTAAATTAAGAGCAGTAACTCTAGGCCAAGTTGTTATAATAAATAAGGTTAAATCAAAACTGTCTAATTTAAGTGATTTTTATAATTATCAAATGTTGAAAAACTTCAACTCTTTGTTTTTATTTCTTAATTGTCTTTAACTGTATTTGTTCTGGTTCTAGTCTAACATCAGTGATGAGAAAATTGTAGGATCTGGCTTGTGGGGTGGCCTGGAAGAAACCTGAATTTATTATCTTATATTTCAACATCAGTATTCATTGAGTCTTAATCATGGGCTTAATATCTTGTCAGTTAAGCAATGGGAGGGCCGAGGGGGCACCATTGTTGGGCTTTGCTTAAGGCATCAATTGGCCTTAATCCGGCCCTGTCTATATCAGATCTGATTAGACCACTGTGCAGTATCTGCTGGTGAGTACTTTTTTTTTTATGGGCATTTGCCCACCTGGGCACAAGTCATTTCATAATGACCCACATCAAGGCCTGGGGGGCAAAAATATAAAATAATAATACAGTAAAATTAATAAAAACTAATAAGAATAAATAACAATTATAATAAAGTAAAGATTAATACAATAATACTATAAAAATTAATACAAAATAATAATTATAAAGAGCCATAAATAAAAAAAAAAATTAAGAATGAGAAATGATACAGTAAACCCTTGATAACTTGGCAGGGATATGGTCTCAGAATATAATAGTATAACTCGGGAAATGCCGAGATACAGTGATATACCCATTAGCCGGAACAATTGGTGCAGAGCTTTTCCGGGAATGAGAGATTTCCGGGTAATGAGACGACTCTCAAAGCCGGAAAAAAAGGCCCTCATCCCCGGAATTTTGCGGGTAACGCAAAATTTTTCTCGGAATTTCCATAAAATGCGCTTGATTTTCATCTCTCACATCCGGAAAAAAATGCCCCCATCCTTGGAATTTTCCGGTTTCTCGGAATTTTCCGGAAAATGTGCCCGTCGGAAAATCGTTCCCAAAGCCAGAATTTCCAAGAAAATTACGGCTCTGGGAACGATTTTCCGAGAAAATTTCAATTCCGACTATCGGAGAGTTCCGGGTTTGAGGGATTCTGGCTAAAGGAGATATCACTGTATTTAAAATTATATGGGAAAATCTCTGCATATCTGGCCACTTGCATCACCTACCATACCTCTGTGTCACCTACCATGCATCTGTATCTCCTACTAAGATGCTTCATTCTTTGCCTGCAGTGTTGGTAAGTGTTACTTATTTACATTTAGTAATTACATGTTCACATATATGGGTCGATAATTTATTTTATTTCTTTGTAGGAGGGGGGCAGTGCCTCGTTAAGTCGGAATTTGGGATAACTCGGCAAGGAAAGAACCCCATATGTGCCGAGTTATCGAGGGTTTACTGTACAAGGTATATGTATGTTGTGTTGTCAAAGTCAGAGAAACAATTGAGACCCTGCAATTGTGTGTAAATGGGGCAGAAAATCATATCAGCAACATAGGACTTGTCACAATTTTTGTGATGCCATATGGCAGCAGGGTCTACCATTAGACAACACATTATGCTTCCAATATCTTCCCAGGCGGTAGTACCTCCCTGTTTGATAGCTGCCTACTACCTACTACTCTATACAATAGTATATTTTGTTTATTTACAATACATTGTACATGTACAGTAGTGTCTGCATAAGTAAATACAGCTCTGTGTCTCTGACTGCAGTCCGTAATGGAAACAATCACCAGTGCCTGGAAAAATTTCAGTCTTGCAATTGTTTCCAGGAATAAGAAAATTTGCCTCAATACCCGGAAATCTCTCAAACCCGAAACCACTCGGCACCAATTATTCTGCTAACGGGGAGATTACTGTATTGTAAGATCATAAAGATAGATTAGGTTTGGTTTGTCTCATTTTGTCTCAAAGTTGATGGTTTATGCTCACTTTATGTACCAGACTGTGTCAATTGTATTTTGCCTGTTTCACCTTGTTTTTTCTACATATTCACTGTTCAGCATATTATTTTGGCAAGGTAAATTGTTTCTTCTAAGTAATTATGAAAATTGTTTGGAGTTTTGTAAGGGAATTCTACTTAGAAGCTGTGCGCCACTAAACTGAACTGTAATTTGCCTTATGAATTTCAACACAAAAATGCTTATTTGGAAAAGTGAAAAATTCACAATTCCAGCATGTTGTCAGTCCCAAAAGTGCTGGATTTCTTAGGTTATATTGCGTTTGTCATTTACATTCAGGTTGAGGATATGAGAAAGTATTTCCATCTCCTCCCTCTCCTCCCCCTCCTCCTAAAACTTCTCCTCCTCCTTCCATGCCACACAAAATTGGGAGAAAAGGAAATCTAATAGATACTGTATAATTATTTTACAGCTGGACCAGATAACCACAAAATTGGCACGAACAACTAAGCAGGGAGGTTACATGCAGTGGCGGCCTGTGAGTTACCTTAGTTCAGACCGGGATATTAACTTGTCCACTGACCCAAACATTGATGGCAACTTTACTTCACTGACGGAAATCTCTATTGCCCTGGAAGAGTCTTTGGCCTATGCAGTGTTTGGGGATAAATTGGAATCAGCAATGACTGCCCAGACAAAAGTTTCTTTTGGCCAGAAGAAGGACAAATTTTATGCTGCAAATAACTACACCACATGGTAAGAAAGTTATAATTTGTTTGTTAAAAAACTAAGAGCTTAATCCTTAAATATCAGCTCTCATCAGTGTAAGTTTACCCTCTCGTGCATGCAATAAGTGACCACAATGAAGGTCATATGGGACCAATTCACATGAGGTCTGGTCATCATATTTGTGCGACCAATTTATCCCACAATATTTTTCTTTTTGAATGATTTATGCATCACTGGCTTCATTATTGTTTGGGCTTTGATATACAGTAGAAGTCCAAAAATCCGGACTGCTTGGGGATTGGGTCGGTCCGGATTTTCGGATTTTCCGGATTCTCAGGCAGTACTTTTAAAATTCAAATTTAATGAAGAATAAAGAAGAAATGAACAGGTACATTTTGATAGTTTATTCATTTGCAAATATAGCATGCTTCATTTATCAAAACGAGCAGTTTTAATGAAAAAGCTGTGAATTCTAAATTTTATTCTTTGCCTTTTATATATCATAAATTGTAGACTTTCCAATGTCGTATGTTTCCATTAGAACAGTATTGCTCACACCACGATCTAGTTTCTTAATTATTTCAAGTTTGTCACTCAATTTCAATGTGTTCTTCTTTCTCTTCACACAATGAAGTTTATCTACTTAAGGAGCCATTTTTATGAGCTTGTACAGTACTCTGTAAATGGAAAGAGTAGGACTCAAAATATTGTTATATTACAATGGTATTCTATTCATACTGTGCTTGATATAATGCATTCACGGAAATGTAATATTTTTGCTGAACGTACGTATTACAGTGGAAAGTGGGATAAAATCGTGATGAAAACAATGACTTTCGCTTTCTTTCGTTCAAAAGATGTTACCGTAATCGCTTTTCGAATGGTTTTCAGTTCAAAAACTTTTGTATTACAATAATATTCTATCCTAATTGACTTGAATAAATACTACGATACCATATTTCTGAATATTTTCATTAAAATCCATCAAAATCATTTTCCTTGTCATCGTCTGCAGCACCAAACAGCTTCTCCCAGTCCTCTCTTTGAACAGGGCTAGAGGGTACGTGTTTTTCGAATCGTTTTCAGTTAAAAAACTATTACATCACTCGTCTATTTTACCTAAACTGCGCCTGAATGAATATATTCTCGGAGATAAATAGTAGTTTTGTGGAAACGTGACGTATTTCAATGTAAAATAGGATAAAATACATGACGAAAACAAAAGACTTTACCTAAGCTTCCGATGTTCTTGAGATGTTACTCGTTTTTTTAATAGTTTTCGGTTAAAATTCTGATATATTACAATGATATTCTATTCATACTGTGCTTGATATAATACATTCACGGAAATGTAATATTTTTCCTGAAATTACATACGTATTACAGTGGAAAGTGGGATAAAATCATGACGAAAACAATGACTTTCGCTTTCTTTCGTTCAAAAGATGTTACCGTAATCGTTTTTCGAATGGTTTAGTTTAAAAACTGTTGTATTTCAATAATATTCCCTCCTAATTGACTTGAATAAATACTTGAATGGAAATACAGTATTACCCCGCCTAACGCGGTTTCACTTAACGCGTTTTATCATATACGCGGTGCCTCGCCAGAGCTGAACTTTCACTTAACACGGATTTTTTCCACATATACGCGGTGAGTGTCCGGCTCGAGACGCTATTTTTAGATTTGCCCCACCCGCCACCCTGCCTGACTGCCTGTTTTAACTCATAAAATTCATACAAATTACCCGGCCAGAATATAATTTACATTGCTGGAATTCTTATAATTTGGTGATCATTTTGAATATAAACAACATATATTTTGCATTAAAACATACAATTTTTAGATAAAAAATTTTCTCTAGGTAACTATGTTATCTTTTGTGCAAAATATATGACATTTATATTCAAAATATTCCTGGTCTTACAAGGAATCCAGCAATGTCAATTATATTATCCTAACTTTAGTTTGAGGTATTATTTATTAAAATTTAGTGGTTATCCCACACATCTCCTTGGGATGGTGGGTGGGGGGGAGGGACGGACCGACCGACCATCTGTTACCCAGTGAAGAATTATTTTTTTTTTTATTAACTGAAGATATTTGTTTTAGCTCATAAAATTCATACAAATTACCCGGTCAGAATATAATTTACATTGCTGGAATTCTTATAATTTGGTGATCATTTTGAATATAAACAACATATATTTTGCATTAAACATACAATTTTTAGATAAAAATTTTCTCTAGGTAACTATGTTATCTTTTGTGCAAAATATATGACATTTATATTCAAAATATTCCTGGTCTTACAAGGAATCCAGCAATGTCAATTATATTATCCTAACTTTAATCTGAGGTATTATTTAATACTAAATGTTAAAAACTCTGGAAGGGAGGATTGGTGGGGGGAGGGTTGGGACTGACCGCGCGGTTGGAAGAGGGGGGGAGGCAAGGTGGGGTACTTTGATTGACAGATAGTGTTGTGAAGATTATTTTTTTTTTATTAACTGAAGATATTTGTTTTAGCTCATAAAATTCATACAAATTACCCGGTCAGAATATAATTTACATTGCTGGAATTCTTATAATTTGGTGATCATTTTGAATATAAACAACATATATTTTGCATTAAACATACAATTTTTAGATAAAATTTTTCTCTAGGTAACTATGTTATCTTTTGTGCAAAATATATGACATTTATATTCAAAATATTCCTGGTCTTACAAGGAATCCAGCAATGTCAATTGTATTATCCTAACTTTAGTTTGAGGTATTATTTATTAAAATTTAGTGGTTTTCCCCCAAGCAGTGTAGTGTGAGAGGGGGAGGGAGTTGAGAACATTATTTGAATGGACATTAACTTGGCGACTGTATTTCTCTATTTCTCTTAAGTATTAATTGTGTGCATGTACCATCATAAAATTAAGATGTTATTTTTACTACAACATAGGTATGTGCCTTCAAAAAGTGGAGTTTGGGGGTCGGGCTGGTTTCTATTGGAATTAATCCCATATGTTCTGTTGTTCACTTAACGCGGATTTCACTTAACACGGGACCCTCTGGGCTCAATTGACCGCGTTAAGTGGGGTACAACTGTATACAATATTTTTGTTGAAACTACCCGGGTTTCAGTGTAAAGTGTCGTAATAATAAATGGTAAACAATTTGCCTTCAGCACTTGTGTTTCATGCACGGCGAGCCTCAGTTTATAGGACGTAGAGCTTTTTTAGTGGTTTTGTTGTTCCATTACCCTCAAAAACGTGGGTGGAACTATAAACGAGGAATATCATAAATTAACGATTTCTTGGTCAAAAAATCAGGGTTGACTGATAACGAGGGGGGGTTATAGACGAGTATATACGGTATGTTGTCACAGTTTGATTCCCCATTTTAAAGTGGCGACCACGTGGTCGCTTGTTGTCGCTGTGCAGCTGTGGCGCTCACACATGCGCACATGCACACAAATGCCCGCTAAAAAAAAAAAATGAGTTCGAAAAGTCCGGATTCTCGGGTGGTCCGGATTTCTGGCATCCGGATTTTTGGACTTTTACTGTAAGTAGAAAAAATATAAGACGTGTATTTTTTTCGTTCCGAATAAAGAAAAAAAAAATTCCCAGCATCATATCTCTGATACATTACGTTCTCACAAAGCTACTCAGCTATTATATACAGTTGTAACCCGATTTACGCGGTCAATTGAACCCACAGGGTACCGCGTTAAGTGAAATCCGCGTAAATGGAACAACAGAACATATGGGATTAATTCCAATAGAGACTGGCCCGACCCCCAAACTCCACTTTTTCAGACACAATACCTACGTTGTAGTAAAAATTACATCTTAATTTTATGATGGTATGCACACACACAATTATTAATTAAGAGAAATATCAATAATATTAGTTTTTTTAACACTTACATTAGTAGAAAAGATGGCTGAGCACACAGGGATGGGGGGTTAGTTCCGAGGCAGAGGGCAGATTATTGGCCCTCACCTGTATCACTTGTATCAATTGTATCACTATCCACCACATAGGCTTGCAGGGCCTCTTTGTCAAACCCCTCAAAGTCCATATAAGTCCATATCCTCACTATCACTATCACTGACTTAGGCCGGCTGTGGTGGGTGGCGGGTGAAGAACTCGGTAATGTTTTGATGACTGGGCGACCTTGTGCGCATCCTGCCCGCGCCGCTTCCCACGTATATGGGTAGACGAACCGCATAAAGTGAAAGTTCGGTTCTGGCAAGGCACCGCGTATATGAGAAATTGCGTAAAGTGAAACCGCGTAAAGCGGGGTACAACTGTAGTTAAATAGAAGCAGAATTTTATGAGCTTTCCAATGATTGCTTTGGAAATTTGATATGACTGATTGTGGAGAGGGTGGGAGAGGAAATACTGTAAAGAGATAAATGCGACTTACCAGCATGGCTGATAGGAGGAAGCTGTTGGACAGCGGAACTCCACCCATGCTTTGGTACTTTCTGGAAGCTTCCTTCGCAACTTCGTGCAGTTATCTATGATGCACAAAATATTGACGCAATTGTCTTGATTTTTTTATTTTTTTTTTTTTTATAGTTTAATGACGCAATTGTAGTCACCGATGCAAATAGTGCTATCCAATGATTTGCGTCATGATGCGCGAGGCGGTTAACTGTAGGGACAACATGCATCATTATTATGAGGTCAAACGCATAAAGGGAATAAACATTTCTTTGCTCACCAGTTAGCAGGCAGAGTGGGGTTGGGAGCGGAATGTGTGGGGTGGGGCGTTGCTAGGAAGTCGGCAAAGACATTGTCCTAGGTGGGCTTTGTGGTATGGTAAGTGTTGAGTTGAAGCAGCCAGTGTATATACAAATGCCATTTTTGTTAAACTTTCATTTGGCTCTTCCTTAGGTTTAGCTGCATTTATTTTTAATTCTAGATCTTCTACAAATTTTGTTTGTTTGAAGTAGCACAGTTGTTAAATAACATTAAGAAAGGTAGGTACGGTAGTATGATTATGAATACTGTGAAAGGAGGTACATGGAGTTGTGAGTTTTCTTCACAGCCTTTCAACTTTCCATAAAGGCCGTTACTTTGGATCTGTGATATTATTCTTTATTTTTTGTATTTTTATTTATTTTTTTAACTTGGTTTTCAGTACAGGTTGAATCTCGATTTAACGGCACTGGATTTACCGGCAACTCACATTTAATGGCAAAATTTAGAGATCAAAATTTTTTCATTATTTGTTTATCTTTTTTAAGGCCTGCCCGTAATTTCCACTAGTCCTTACCTTCTGCAACGCTCCCGTGGTCAGTGTATTTTGGCATTAAAATCCAGCTGGTGCTGTGCTCGTGTGATCGCCTTAAATTTCTACTTTCTTTGCATCAATTATGTCCTCTAAATGACCTGAAAACCTGACTGGAGTTGCTAGCCACCCAAAGAAGAAAAGAATTTCCCTGAAAATTTTGCAGAAGGTTGCAATATTATGGAAAATGGTGCCAGTTTAATGAAACATTATTGAAAAATAATTAAGCCCCCCCCCCAAAAAAAAAAAAATTTGCACACTCAATCCCAGATGAGCTATTGCTTCGTAGTATATTTTCAGTTTCTTGTTTATAAAATGGTAACACTGACCCACTCTTCACTAATAGTGTTGCCAGCACTCGCCATCTCTCAAGCACTGTTGTTGACACTGTCCTAGAGGGCTGGTGGTTACCACAGGATTTGTCTTGGACACTTAGTAAATAATATTGTAGCATATTTATCAGAACTTAATAAATGTTATTGTAGTGTTTAATACGTCTCCGTATGCCCTGGTTTATCCTCACCTCGTCACCCCACCTTGCAGTGTTACATTTATTTATTACTATTATTTACTTTATAATTACTGTACAGTCTGTACATTTCGAAAAAAAAATTTCCTCAGTAATTATAAATACATAGATTATTTTATGTGGCAGCCAAGGCAAGGCGCAAAAACTGAGCAGAAGACGAACGAATAAAAAAATTGAACACACATCAGCTGGGTGGTCACCAGTTGACTCAGAGACTTGTGTGTGTCCTGACACGGACATGCAGTTACTGTTCAGTGCTCACTGCCTCCACACACATATGTTCACTTCCCACACATACGCACCCATGCACTTCAGTTTTCTTATTTTATGGTAGTTTTATATTCTATTTTCTTTATTTGTAAGCCACTTTAGAGTATAGTAATTTTTACTCTTTTACTCTGTATTAGAGAAAACAATTTTACTAGGGTAGACTAATATCCTGAGAAATTTATGTCCCTTATTTTTTTTTACAATTTATCATCTTCACCACTGATCGGCTCGTTAGCCGCTTGGGCAATCGGTCACGTCTGTTACCTTTCTCTTTCTTTTATCCTCTTCACCAAATGATTGGCTTGTTAGCCTCTTGGGCGATCAGTCACGTCTCTGTTATGCACTGTTGGCAAGTACTCGGCATGCACCAGCTCCCGAATGTACCTGAACCCGCTCCAGTGTTGGTCAAGTCTTGTCTTGAAAGAGCACACACTCGGTGCCGTCACAACACTTTCTGGTAGATTGTTCCAAGAGTTCACAACTCTCACTCCGAAAAAGTTTGCCCTCACAGTTTTCTGGACTTGCGGCTTCTTCAATCTTGAGCTGTGACCCCTTGTGGGGCGAGTTTCCGCCAGCTCCAAGTAAGGACACTCGACTGAGTAGTGCCCCCTGAGATGCTTATACACCTCAACTAGGTCACCCCTTGCCCGTCTGTAGTATAAGCTAGGCAAGTTCAGGCGCTCCAATCTCTCAGGGTAACTGAGGTTCTGAATTGCAGGCACCAGTCTGGTGGCCCTCCTTTGAATATTTTCTACCAACTGACAGTCCCTAGCATATCTTGGGGACCAGATGGGGTGACAGTACTCCAGATGGGGAAGCACTTCACTCTTAAAGATCATTACGAGGGACGGACCGTCTAGATATCTGAACGACCTTATAAGACCCAATAATTTATTTGCCTGATTTACCTTCTTCTTGCAATGGCCCGAGAACTTCAGCTCATTGTCAACATACACACCTAGGTCCTTCTCACATTCAGTCTCAACTAGTGCAGTTTCTGCATGCCGTTGGGACATATGATACGCCTCCTTACCGTTGGTACGCCCCACGTGCATCCTCTTACACTTCGTGACATTGAATCTCGGCAGCCATTTCTTTGACCATTCCTGGAGCCCACAGAGGTCCTTCTGCAGCTCTTCACAGTCCGCTTGGTTCTTGATTTCCCGAAATAACTTGGCATCATCGGCAAACATTTGTATGGAGGAGTGTACAACGTCAGGCATATCATTTATGAAACAAACAAACAACAGCGGGCCCAATACACTGCCCTGTGGTACCCCACTTGTGACAGGTACGGATGACGATTTCGTGCCATTAATCACCACACACTGCTTGCGGTCATGTAGAAAGTCTTCTATCCATGCTCGGACATTTCCCCGAATTCCGTACCCTTCCAGTTTGATTTTCAGCCTAAAAAAGGGGTCCACTGCCGAAAGCCTTTTTTCATGGGAAGTACATTTTTATGTGTTTATTTCCATACTCAGACATGAATTATATGAAGAGGAAAAAAATTGCTAAAATTTATTAGTTTTTATTACCAAAAACCTACTCCATAGAAATATCAACACCATCTTTGAAACATTTATCATTTCTAACCTAAAATCTTATGACAAATATGATAATCTTGGTAGCTTAATCAAGTGGTTTCGTCAGTGCTTTAACGACAAATTGGATTTAATGGCATGGTCCAGGTCCTATTGATGCCATTAAATCAAGGTGCAACCTGTACAGTGTTTTATATTAGTTTTGTATTTGTAATAATAACACAAGACTAGTCACTATAGCCACATCTGCCTAGCCCTCCTTATCACTCCAGGCGAAGCTGAGCAATAGTATGTTATGGTTATTTTCCAACTCGTAATTTTGGGTAGATACACATAATTTTCTTCACAATGTGTGAAATGCACACAATATTCCCTGCTGAAATGAGTTGGGGGGGGGGGGAAGTGCATGTTATATCCCATAAAATATGGCCCTTAAATCTTTCTTAAAATAGATTATTTTATTAAAAAGACAGATATATGGTACTTTAATGTACTGTCTAGTCAGAAGCAGCAATTGCTACCCCCTCTAGTAGCCAGAACCATGGTAAATGAAGGCCTGGCGATTAGACAAACCTTTCTCCTTCCCTTCCTCCCCTGTCCAAATGTTGCTAGGTAGTTAGGAATTATCTTGGCTGCCAATGCTGCATTGTGTCAACATCGGCATTCACTGGCTGTGGCTCCGGCTACTAGGAGAGGAGTAGCAATTACTGCTTCTGACTGTAACATTGAGATTTGCATGAGTGGTTGACTAGTTATACCAGTCTCAAGATTTTACTAACCCTGAGTAGGGGCTGACCATTGTTTACTCACATTAAAACAAATATGCATCATATTGAAATGAAAATTTACTTTATCTTGGTTCTCCGCTGGAGGATATTAAAGTTCATTGGACATATTTCTGGTCAGCATTATTGATTATATTTTATTTTGGACTATTAGGAAATAAATACTGTACAGTATACTGTATTCTTTTTCCTTAGATTATGGATATTTTTCAGGACTGTTGGCTTTGGACATGGATCGCCACCAAAGGAAACTTTCTCCACGATGGTGATCCTTGTCATAACCCTAGGTTTAAGCATCCCAGCATTGATGTTTCTGATTGGATGTGTAGTGATAGCCAGTCGCAAGTGCCGTAGGTCAACTGATCAACTTATTGTTAATTAATTTTTCAGATTTTCCAAACTTTGTATTTATATCATTGAATTCACACAGTGTGGTTATTATTGAGTTAAGTATAATTTTATGTATTTTTGTAGATTTGAAGTATTTTTCCTGTAAAGTGCCTTGAAGTGGAGAGAATTCACAGTATGATACTCATATAAGATACTCTTGTTATTCTAACATTACAGTCGCATGAGCTCTTTATTTGCCTCTTGTAGAAAAAAAATTATTTGCTTGCAAGAAAAGGTTATTAAATTTTTTCAAGCTGAAAATAAAGAACTCTATATTTATTTTCATGTGAAGAAAGCACTTCTTCCCTGCCTCCAGCCTTGTTCATCCATTTGAAGTGATTTAATGTCCATTCACTGAATTGAGAGAGGCTTTGTGGATCAAAAGGAATTTTGGGATACGGCTTCATGTCAAGAGTATTTAAGCTTAGTTTGGTAATCAACATTTCCTAACTTTTTGTACTGGTTTATAGAAGCCCTCTTGTTTTTTTAAAATTCAGTGCTGTATTAAGAAACATTAGGCTATTAAACTTCTATTGCTGTTAAAACCACAAAAGTGTGACCACTTAAGCATTCCTTTAGTTGTGAGTAATTTTTTTATTAAAAGACTAGCTTTATGAAATCAAGAATAATTTATTTTTATATTAAATAATATTGAATGTATGGCTGCTATCACTAACATTACATTGATTTTTTTTTTTTTTACAAGAGAACAGATTTTATGCTTGATATCACTATAAATGTAAGATATCTTTGGTCAGTCAGTTTACATAAAATTCCCAGTCTACAGTTGAAGGAATGAAGGTGGTGGTTAAGTGTAGTGCCAGCCATGGACCAAAAAAAGGCTTAGTCTACCGTGTGCTGGATCTGCACTACCCATAATGAGGTGGCAGGTCTATGGAACGCACTCTCATATTCACTTTGGTACTTGGGATTCGACACTGAGTGAATGCAGCTCCTGCCACATGTCCTAAAGGTTACTGGTTTGCACCAGGGGCACTCCCAGTACACCCAGCTGTGAATGAATACACAACTTTATAGTTAAGGAAGCAAGGGCAGTTGAGTGTAGTGTTGGCCACACAACCTCCTTTAGAACCAAAGGCTTGGTGTTCAGTGTATTGTATCCACACTGCCATTACTGGAACATCAAGATAATGGGATCCACTTGAACTCTGACATATGACTATCATATTGTATTTTGTGATATACATGTTTTTCAAACCAAAGTTTATTATTTAGGTTTGCACTGTAAAAGATTCATGTAGTTATCTATAAAGTGATATTTTACAAATATATATCCAGTATGTAGTACTGTACTGTGTTACTTAGAGATATATAATTATACTGTATAGTGAAGTAGTAATTTATCATGATGTAAGTTGTGCTATTTTGAGAGCCTGCTGAAATGTATAGACTTGTTCCAATAATTTTAATTGTCAGTAATCTACAAATCTTCAAATGTTGAAGGTTCTTCCTTGACATTCACAACAATTATTGAACAAAGACTGGCCTCTGTAAGTAAACACTTGCATCACATTCCAGTGGTTGAAATTTCCTTTTGGGAGGTGAGGCTTTATACAAGTTCCTTTGCTCCATGTGCATGTCTGCTCAGCAATGATTAGTGCCAAGTATTTTAGGGGTTACTGTATTAGG